CAGCTGTGAATCCATCAGGAGCAACAAGTTGCGAAAGTACAAAGCCTCTGGTGTATTAATTAGTCGCTCCCTTTCGCGCTCTTAAAAAGTCTTCGAGTTTAATTAGTTTCGACGCCAATGTACAGGGTGAGCAATTCGGAGATTCGAACATCTACAAAGCAGCTGCAAGACGACCTACGCAGCTGAGACGCAGCTTTTAAGATCAACGGAAATGAAGACGCTGAGGTCCATAGTGGGCCTAACTCTATAACGAGTAATAGCTATAGTATACTATGGTGATGTTTAGAAAAATTGGTTCAACTTGGGCAACCTTCCTCTACTTCTGACCTGTGAAGACCGAGACTTTCGTGAGCATTCTTGTAATAGACGAAATTTTGAATTACCATTTCCATCAAGGCCAGAAGCTGGGGCGATCCCTTAACACAGTTAGAGTGCTGGGTTACTAAGCACCCCCTTGCATACATCAGCGCGAAGAAGGCAAATTATTGCAATGCGTAGTTAATTATTAAGCATTCTCGACCTGGTCCGGAAGGTGTTGCGGTACAGGGGAATCAGCAATAATTCATCGAGGTTCGACGAGCAGACGGACGGATATAATGATAGCAAATCGACGTTCATTAGCGAAGCGTAAATGGCCCGAAACCGAGTGGACATCATTATTTATGCGAAAACAGCGGAAGCAATGCCGTAATTATCAGCCGTACTTTCAAGCCACATTGTCCTCAAATGCTGACTGCGGGCATTAAAAGTGCAAAAGTGACCGAATGATTTATAATGATTCGATATTGGAACGTTGAACTTACTTGTATATCGGCTTGCTCTGTTTGTCTCTAAACCAAAGCACCATGTAGACGCGATCGTCACTGAAGTTGGGCTCGATGTCGCATGGAAGCATGGCCGTCTTTCCCATCACAGCTTTCACTTGAACAACAGTTCCTGGAAAGAAAGCAATTGTTATTTAGACAAGTTCCAGCAATAAGTGACATTGTGTATGTCAATGTCGCATTTTACTGCGACAAATCGTCGTGATAGTCACGTCGATGTGACCTGGGCAAATAAATGACCATGTCATTTACACGTGATTGTCACGTCTGGTGCTATTTGAGTAAGTAAGAAACAGTTTCTCGAGCAAATAAATCCGAGCAGAATAGTAGGTACTTAATGTCGTGACAATTCAAAGTTCATTAGACTGTTGTAGCCCCTCGATATGGCAGCCACCGCCAGTCACTGCCTGATTTCAGATGCATTAAATGCGCAAAGTTTCCCGTTTCGCCTTAAATCCGGTAAGCCTTTCAGCTTTATTGCGTAACAAAGTTCACTATAACCACGTGCCGTAAAAGGCATCAAGAAAATTACATGTTATAGTCATATTTGCCGTTGAATGTCCTGGCGATCGCTTAAGGAAGATTTTATTGGTGCAGGAGATCGTCGCAGCCATCGCCACTAAGCGGGATTTTCATTTTTCCATTCTCTCAAATCTTTCTGGAAGTTGTTTACATATTCATAAATGAGATCGTGGCTTGTTCTCGTGCCAAAGACTCTGTTTAGTTTCGAGCAAACATTATTTACTACCCTTTTCAATTGGAAGACAAATAACAAATCAAAAGAGCCGACTTTTAGGGCGATTTAGAAATCTTCTAAGTGTTTTGGAAAAGTTTACCTCTGGCAAAATCATACAAGGGACCAGTTGACTTATCTGATTATGAGCACCAAAAATTTGCTGAATCACGTGTAGAGATACTTACTACTAGAGGTGGGATAAACGGTTATTTTTCCTGAACAAGGTTACAATGTTCCAGTTCCACGTTGGTAATAGGTTTCAAAATGTGGTTCCAAACAAAACATGTTACTTTGAAAATTTTTAAAAAGCAAACGGCTGCAGCTATTGCGTAGTGCGCACAACTGTTTAGGTTTAATGAGACGGTTCCAAAAAGAACGGTGGTGTTCCAGTTAAGCTGATAGCTTTATATTCTCCAATTTTTTTGGGATTTTCTTTCCTCGGCCGTTACATGTATATAAATACACAGCAAAGTTAAACAGAAATAATCTCATACAATGCGAGTCGCTTAAGTGTAGCGGTCCAAAATCGCCAGCTCTAATAACCAAGTCATGCTCTGAGCGCTGCTCGGTGGGACTCAAATCATGCATGAACCAACCTTGATCCGCAGGAGCAGCGAAAATTAAATGCGGCACGTTTCAATTATAGTATACGACACTGCCTATTGAATTAAGCATGTATTATTCAGCTGATCCTCAATGGGCGCAGATATTAACAGGGAACAGATAAGCTGCAATCAACATAATATAACCAGAAACCCGAATAAATAATTCACGACGCTCGCCCCCTTCTGAAAACGCGTTAGATGTTCGGAATCCGGCACTTAATTGAACTCCTTTGTATTTGGTGTATACGTTATCTTCTCCTGCATTGTTTTGTACATTTCACCGGAATCGATTGGTTGAGTTTGGTGGAAAACAGTGAAGTTCCGATTTCGGACTTTAATATCAAACTGGAAACACATTTTTCCCCAACAAGTTGCATATGGCTTCTTGGGACAGACAAAAACATTTTTTTGTCGGTTGGACTGCAGCCAATCTGAAACTCCTTTCGGATGTGGAATTACTCTGGCAAATAAATTGTCCAATTTGCTGTTTGGAGCTCGGAGGGCCGTTTGGGGGCCGACAAAAGCGACAAAAAGGGATTTTTATTGTGCCAAAGCGAAAAAGGTAGCGACGACTGCGAATAGCTCTAGAATGCGTTTAAGGCAAACAGGAATTTAAATAAGAGCGATTTCCTTTCGTCAGTGAATCGAAGCAATTCGAATCCGTGTCGTTGCCGGTTAATCGTCGTAGGGAAAAGACAAATTCCAACTCAGCAAACCGAATCAGAATGTAGGTTTGTTCAAAATGTGCCCGTATATTCCAGCAAAGTGTAACCAAGCTCCCTGGCAACATTTTCTTAGTTACACTTCCCTGCTGCAAGTTATATGCCTGCCTCGAAACATCCCAACGCCAGTCCCTTTGGGATATTAAATTGCTGCGCTCTCAAAGTTTACTTAGTGTTGGATCTAAGTAATAGCTTCCAGTTTATCTTAACCGGAGCGAAACAGTAGCTAAACAAACTGTAAAATACCTGAAAATGTTCGAAACGCGTTTGCCTTGATTGCAGAAAATGCGTCAGCCGTTTCCTCCACTCGCATCGCACTTGAGGGCCGCCTCAAAAGCACCTCAAGTAGCGTATGCAGCCCGAAATTAGCATCCCACAATTGATTGAATATCAGCTCAGATGATGGAAACAAGCCCTCTAGTCCCATATCAGCTACATAAACAATCTAAAACATGCGACGTCGAACCGGGCGCTTAATTTCTGCTTTATACTCTGATGCAATTCCCAACGGGAATTAGCGCTGCTGCTTATCCGGGATGTGCGATTTTTTGTTCAGTTTGCAGATTTTATTCAAGATTTAATCGAAACTTTTTTGTTTTTTTGCTTTCGGCGTCATCCTTGTGCCGATATGCGCAAAGAATTGCAGTCGGAAGGCTGGAAAAGGCCATCGAACGTCGAACGTGTCTTCTATATCGTAAGCAACCTGGGAAAACGGAGCGATCAACACAGGTAAGGGGGCACACCCAGGACGGGAATGGCAACATTGGGGCTACTTCATAGCTGGAACAGGAGACGGCGCTGTGGTACTTCCGGGCAACAACACAGAACATCCGTGGGGTTGCCAGGGGAGATGGATTATTATTGATTTGATGGTGACGGTGCAAGGCGTTCATTAAGATTATTGAATTTTGCATCGACCAATATATCTAACAATATATTAATTCTAGTTTATTCTATTTTTGAACTTTGATCTTGGATATTCTATTTGAATATGTGATGAATATCAAATGAATATTTGAAACGGAGAACTGTGAGAGTTAAAGCTTTGAACTATTAGAACATGCTGAGTTTAGGTCTAGGGTCTTGACTTTTTGATTAAAAGAGCTTCTGGAATTGTCAACTTGAAAATGTGCAGATGGTCAAGAATCTTCTAGATTTCAGCGCCCTTTAGCTTGGAGCATCATAGTTAATGGTCAACTTTAGCAAAATATTTGAAGACACCTCAAGAGAAACGTGAGCTAAACTAGCTCAATTCAAAATCAATTCTGCAACGTTCCTTGTGCCCAAATGGAAAGCAGATAATGAGTCCTGTGGAGGCAAATTGACTTCGATCAATAGAATCCTTCAAAAATGGGATCTTGGGTGTAAAAAGCCGCTGCCTTTATTGCATAGCTTGAATTTAGAATTCGGGCAATTGTCGGCACAAAGACCCACATCGCTCCACACAATTACTACAATTCAATAGAACTGACGTTGTTCCCTTCCGATCCTTGGACGCCACAATGGCACTGGCGAATTTGATTTTTCACGTGAATCCCAGATTCGGAAAGAGGGATTATCCCTGTCGGCCTACATCCTTCTCTTGCTTACTTCAGAAGGCTGATTTCGCCAGTTTAAATTCGCCTTTACTGCCGATAAATTAAGGTTACCATCTGGGTAAACACTGAGCATTCTTATGGTTACTCAGATATCGATGATCGTTGCTTTACAGCCGATGGATTTTCGTTATCACTCGTAGTCGAATTTGGGATTCGGAAAATGATCAATCGAAAAGCCCTGAACGATATGGCACGATGACCGTAACGGCGAAATTATGACATATTCTGAGGGCGAAAGAATGGAAAAGGAACTTTATATCGCTCATGAAAGCCCGGGGGGAATTGGAAAGAGAAGGATTAGACTTGTCAGTCGATATATATTGACAGTGAGTGGGTTTTGCAGGCTTTTATTTGATTACGTGGGCGACAAATGAGGTTTACTTCGATTTACTTCATCATAGATCCGAGCCATGGCTATTGTTTTTGCGTATATCGTTAGTATGCACTTTTATATAACACCCACAGAAAGTGGCAACAATTTCTACATTTTTGTGTGGATTATAGCATGATTTCTTTTTGTGATTCAATGTGTTCCTCGGGGAAAACCATTTCTGGAACATGTTATGTTTAGGCAGCCAACATAGGTGGAATAGTGCGAGAAGTTGCATATAGTTTAGACGAATAACAAAATATGACACTGGAAGGGTGTGTCATGGCGTCTCTCGTAAGGTTGTAGCAGCGTTTGAGTTTATCTATGTTTTCCATTGCAGTTTTGAGTTAATACAACTTATGGTGTTTTATTAAGGAAGAATAATACACCACAATTTTTATTATATTTTCTTTAGTCGCCACTAGGGATGGTGGGTATTTAACGTAACCGCTAAAATAACATAGTTACAAACGTTTAACCTGGAACCGTAGTTCCAGCTAGCACATTTAACCGATTGCTTTTGGAACCGTCTCATAAACCCTAAAAAGCCGTTCCAGTAACCATTTATCAACGGAAAATATATATAGTGGAGTGTTGCCTTGATTATTGTGTTAATCCCTTTTCGTTTATAAGAATTGCTGTTCAGTTCTCCAGAATCCATAACCGTTCACATATGAATCAGATATTAATTCGGCATTTTTAGTTTACTATTTCTACCATCATCATCATTGCGCATGTTTAATGAAAAAATTTAAAAGTAACATGTTGCTTTAGGAACCGCATTTTGAAACCTATTATCAACGTGAAACTGGAACATTGTAACCTTGTTACTAAAAAATATCCGTTTATCCCACCTCTAGTCGCCATATTGTTATCAAGTTGAATGGAAGGTTTCACATTTGTCGAAAAACGGAAAGCAATTTTTGAAGGGGCAAACCGATGGACGAGGATTTTCAACTAAAACTGTTGAAGGGGACGGAAGATTTGCAGAATGCCCAGAAGACCGATTTTAGTAATTTTTAGTTTAATTTTTCTCCTCTTGCAATAGAGGTATTGCAATCGAGCAAGCTCAAGGACAAAT